AAAAAAAAAAAAAAAAAAAAGGGATCAAAGCACTGTGGGGCAGCCTGGAAATTTCCAGATAAGTGCTACGGTTGTCCGCGGTGCCGGGGTTGGAACCGTGGCCTCTGTGTTCCAAGCAAGCGCTGTAACCACTGAGCTGTGTCCATCCCGCCGTGCTGTGGTCCCCCTCAGAGCGCTGAGCCAGCGAGTGCCCTCTTACTGCGAGGGCTCAAAAATAGGAAGTGCGTCCGCCTCTGGGTAGCTAATGGGAAACTGCTCCTGTGGCCTACAGGGCCCCTCCTGGGCAGCGCCACCACCCGAACTGAAGCATGAGCTTTAGCCCGGAGCGTGAGGTGCCCCTGTCCATCCGTAGTGGTCACACAAGAATCCCTGGCGTGGTGCTTGTCTCCTTCTGTGTTGAAGGTGGCTCTGGAATGCTTGGCCACTGGGCTTTTAATTATCTATCAAAGCACCACGGACAGAGCAGAAAGGAGTAACCCCCAACCAGCAGGAGGAGTGCTCTTTTTGATATGGCAGCTCACTAAGTTGCCCAGGCGGCTGGGCCTTGAACTTTTGATCCTCCTGCCTCAGCCTCTCAAGTAACCCAAACTGCAGGTACATGCCACTCCACATGGCACCGTAATTCATGTTTCTGATGATGGCCCTGTTTAGAAAGGTACAAATGGCTTCTTGTGTGGAAGCAGGGACATTCGTGTTACATTTTGATGAATTTCATCCTAAATTTTGATTTAGGGGAAGTTGGTACAGTCATAAAGTTATTTGGTAAATAGAAAATAGTTCCTTGTTTTAATTTTATTTTCTTAAGATTAAGTATCTTTTTATTCAGCATCTTTAAGTATCTTTTTATTCTGTGAATTGTCCATTGTCTTATAGGGTTGGGGTTCTTTTATTGACTTTGTAAGAAATTTTACATATTAGGGATGAAAGCTTTTTTTGTTGTCTTTTTGAGGCAGGATCTCGCTATGCAGTTCAGGTTGGCCTTGAGCTCACTTTGCAGCCCAGGCTGGTCTTGAACTCACAAGGATTCCCCTGCCTCAGCCTCCGTAGTGCTAGGATTACAGGCCTGCAGCACCACACCCGGCTTTGTTGTTTGGTTTTGATAGTAGGATTTTTTCCTTCTTCTGTATAGGAAGTTTCTGGTTTTATAATTGAGAAGTATTGGTCTTTTCCTTGTGTGTTCTGATAGTTTGCTTAGAAACAAATTTTCTCCCCTAAACAAAGGGGGAATTTGTCAGGTATCCTAGATAACCCAGGCTTTACTATATTTAGAATCTGTGCCCAAGGTTTTATGAAGATGGTAGGATTGTATCTGATTTTTGTTTTTTTCCTCTGGAGGTAGGCGATGAACTAGAAAGCCACCCAAGCTCCCTCCCTCCCCCTAGGCAGGAAGGTTCTGCTGGCATATTAAGTAGCCTGTTTGCTGACAACAATTAAGACAAAACAGGTTTAGGGTAACTGCAAAACTGGTAAAACAAGAAAGGCAATTTCAGGGCAAGATGCCATCTGAAGAAAAACTAAGACTGAATAACCTGGTAGAAACTTGTCACACTGTCTGAGAGCAGGACAAGTTTAAGTATAAAGTGTTAGAAAGGCCACAGCATGCTTGGGAATTAAAAATCACACTCTGGTTTTACTGTCAGAGTTTTCCGTGAGTGCCCATGACAGGAACATTCTAGAAAGAACGGCTAGGGTGTGGTAGAACCAGCCTTAGCTTTGTGATTGGTTCCCAGTTCCCAGCTCTCATTCTGTGACCTTGGGCAAGTCCCGTTGGCATCTCTTGGACTTGGTGTCCTACGACTGTGCCGTGAACAGACAGGCCGAGAGCCTGCAGCGGATGATACTGAGGCAGGCCTTGGCCTACCTATGCCTGGAGCATTCCAAAGAAGGACCTGATCCCAAGTCATTAAGTCACTTGGCCAAAGTCACACCAATGCCAGCGTTTGACCCCAGGTCCAGCCGGCTTGAGAGCACTAGGCTGCCTCTCTACTAATCTTAGGCAGCGCCCTTCCCCAGAGCTCCTGGTTCACCGTCCTTGCCTGGGACACACCCTTCGGGTGTAATGGGAATGCCCATTCCTGGGCCTGCACTCCCAGCCCCAGCCAGTGCATTCTTCCCCTGCAGCTGAGCAGACGCCACCACCCTGTGCGGTGGCCCCAGCACACAATAAGCACTGCTGTTGGGGCCTGGTGACTGCTGACCGTGGCAACCTCATGACCCTCGGAGCGCACTGTCAGGAGAGCCCAAAACAAAAAGCCTTTCTCCTGCCACCACAACCGGGTTCAGAGCAAGGAAGCCCAGTAACGTTTTTGCATGCATCTCTAACACACACATCCAAGCCAGGAGTGACACAGGCCTATAACCCCAACTCCTCTGCAAGCTGAGACGGGAGGATTGCAAGGCTAACCAGGGCACTTTAGCCAGATCCTGTCTCAAAAAATAAAAAGGGGGGCCGGGGAGATGGCTCAGTAGAATAAGCGCTTGCCTGGCAAGTGTAAGGGTCTGAGTTCAATCCCCGGTCCAAAAAAAAAAAAAAAAAAAAGGGTTGGGGAGGTAACTCAGTGCTGGGGCATCCCGGGGTTAAATCCATAATACTAGGAAAAAAAGCAAAAAGCAAATTGAGTGGCCGAGTCAAATTGAATGGTAGCACTCCGTGGTTGCCCAGGATCTGTCACCAACTCCTAGCCCTGCCTTTCTTGTTTGGAGGGTGTGGTTGAAGGTCAGCCCTCAGCACTAAGGACAACCACAGTTCGCCCTGAGTGGCTTTGTAGGGGCTGACAGCTGACAGGACTGACTGGCCAGGATGTCCAAGACACATCGGGCAAGGCTAAGGGTGGATGGAGCCGTAGCTGCACTGATGTCCTCTGCAGGCCTCGCTGAGAGCCACAGTGTCCAGGGGTAGGCAGGGCAGGTGGCCCGGACCCCTGCCTAGCACCTTTCTGGAGCAAGTGGCTGTGGGAGAGAAGGTCGGGCCTGGCCCTTGGGGGAGGCTCGCTGGCCCAGAGGAGCAGCCTGTGGCTCCGCCAAGAGGAATGCACCAGAAGCCGCAGTGGGGAGGAGGGACGGGAGAGTGGAATGGCCGGGGCCACAGGTCGAGGATGATTCCCAGGCAACAGAGGCTCATGGGATATTGCCTGGGCAGTGGAGCCCAACCCTGGAAATGGTATGAAGTCAACCAAATAAATGACTGAGGCCCAACTGCCGAGCGCTCACCTTGCCCAGGTGTTCTGCCATGTGGGTCGCACGCACTGCTTTCTTTCTCATTTCTTTTTGGCAGTGTTGAGAATTGAGCCCAGGGCCTGGTGCATACTGAGCACGAGCTTGACCACTGAGCTCCACCCCCAGTCTGGTGCACTGTCTTTAATTGCTGTGACATCCTTATGAACTGAGTCCTGTTGCTGCTCCATTGGGCACGCGAGGAGACTGAGGCATACAGACCGAGCTGAGCCGCCAGCACGCTGTGGCTGGGCCCTGGCTCGGCCCACCTGCCTCCCCCGCCCGCCTCCTTCCCCCGTGCCTGGGGTGGGTTGGTGTAAGGGTCTCGTGCTCACCCCCTGCACCTGTTGCACAGAGGCGGTTGGCACGTTCCCGACTCTGGTCAGCTGTGCCCACTCCCCCAGCCGGAACCCAGCCTGCAGAATTCCCTGCGTGCCCAGAGCTGCCCCAGAGCTCCAGGCCTCCTGGGCAGGCCCTCCTATGGGTTGACATCAGCCTCTGGCCCACCCTGAGGTCCTTGGCCCTGGGCTCTGTGTCTGGTTTAGTGAATCCGCCTCTCTGGACCCAGCAAGGTTGCTGAAGAGGGGTAGGGTGCTAGCTGTCCCTGTGGGTCCCAGGGTGAGGGCCTGCAGAACCGCACAGGTGTCCTTCACTGTCCCTAGTCCTTTGCGGGGAGCTTCACCTGGTGCCATGTGCTTGGTCCTCATCGTATCTCCATGATGGGTTTTGTTGTCCCATTTACTAGCTGGGAATATGAGGCTCAGAGAGCTGAAAGCAGATTCAACAAATGTGAACACAGGGCAGTTCCTGTGAGGACAACTCTGTCCCTACGGCTCCCTCCCGGCAGGTGGGAAGGCGGAGGAGGTGCCCGTGGTTGCTTTCCCCCATCCCACTGGTATGGGTGGGGGGCACTGTCTGGCGGGACAGCCTTTCCAAGGGGAAAACCCTGTGTGCTGCATTTCAGAAAATCAAAGCCGTGGATGACACCAGCCCAGCCTGCAAGCACTGCCTATCACTTGGGCGCCATACCGTCACTGTAGAAGGTTCAGTTATGCTCTAGCGAAAGAGGTGTAGACAAAGGTTTTTCTCTTAGATATTCCATTTAGAGTTAAAAGCTCTGATGAGTCCTGCAGACCCTCAGTTTCACCTAGAACCCAGCACTCCCCAAATTTGCCGGCCTTCAGAGCCTTCTCAGCACCTGTAATACACTGCGTGCTGCTAAACATGCCCGTGTTCCTCCCCTCAAGTCCCCAGACCTCAGTGGCTCTTGGTTGTCTTGTTCCCCTGGAGGGGAACCTAACTCCCTCTTGTCATTTTGTCCCCAGATTGCCTCGGCTCCCCAGTGTTCATGCCCATCAAGTCAGACATAAGCGGCAACATCACGGTGAGTAATTGGCCCAGCAGCCACAAACTCCCAGCCCGAGAGAAGAAGGAGGAAGCACAGGCGTAGGGAAACAGGCTGGGCCCCGGGCTATACTTCTCCTGCAGCCATCAGGTGCAGCCCGGGTGGGGCCAGAGCCTTAGTGCTGGACCCTGAGAAGGGCCTGCCTGCCTGCTATCCACCTCCACCTCCACCCAAGGAGAAGTACACACCTGGGATTCCAGCACTCCAGGAGGCTGAGGCCAGAGGATCGCAAGTTTGAGCTGAGCTCAGATATGAGACCCTGTTTCAAAATAAAAATAGAAAGGGCTGGGGATGTAGCTCAGTAGAAAGTCTGGGGTTTGGTCTCCAGTAGTACAAAACAGTACCCCGCCCCCCCCCCCTCCAATTCCATGAGTGGTCGTGGCTTGACTCGCTTCTCCTGAGTTCCTGGAGTTCCCTATGCTATTGCCCTTGTTTGAGGATCTGCCCAAGGCCCACCCAGGCCTTGGAACCCACCACGCAGTCTCCCATCTACATCCCAGCAGCCCTGGGAGGCTGGTTCTGTTGTCCCCATGTGCTTCATTGCAGGGGGTCCCCTTAGCTCAGGGCCACAGCAAGAAAGTGGCCGAGCTGGGATTCACACCCAGGACCATCTAGGCCCATCAGAGGCCGTTGAGCTTGGACTTCCGTGGATCCTCAGGTGATCTTGGAGTCCTTGCATGCAAGATTTCACTCATCCCTGAAAGCAGAACCTCAGGGGCCTTCTGCCCACGGCATTGTCACCAGTGGCTGGAGGATATGCACTCTCAAGCCAGCTGAGTTGGGGCCCACTACCACCTGCACCTGCTGTGTGGCCTTGGACACCTCACTGCCCCGTCTGAGCCTCAGTGGCCTTATCTGTAGATTTGGTACAACAGAGCAACACTCAGGTAGCCATGAGCATCCTATAAGCAGCACCCCCAAAGCTCTCTGGCTCACGGGAAGCACTCAATAAACACAAACACAGGGCAGTTCCTGTGAGGACAGCTCCGTGTCCCTGTTGCTCCCAGCAGGTGGGAAGGCGGAGGAGGTGCCTATGGTTGCTCCCCCTCTGATATGGGGGTGCTGTCTGTCAGGGCAGCCTTTCCAAGGGGAAATCCCTGTGTGCTGCATTTCAGAAAATCAAAGCCGTGTATGACACCAACCCAGCCAAGTTCCGGACCCTGCAGAACATCCTGGAGGTGGAGAAGGAAATGTACGGAGCAGAGTGGCCCAAAGTGGGGGCCACGCTGGCATTGATGTGGTTGAAAAGGTGATGGGCTTGGGGGGTGGGGCCTAGAGGTTCCCCCAAACTGGAGGAGGGAAGCAGTCCTTGCCCCTGCCAGCCTGGGCTCAGATGTCCTCTGGTACCTTGCTAGTCACTGGCTGCGAAAAGTCTGAGGGCCAAGTCATGTAAGCACAGGTTGTGTATTGCCCAGAGGTATCCTCTTGGGGGCAGATTTATATATTATGTATACAATAGGGTGTATTATGACAGTTTCTTGACAGAAATACAGAGTTACTTGGTTTTTTGAGACAGGGTCTCACTATGTAGCCCTGGCTGAGATTACAGGTATGTGCTCCATGCCTGGCTAGAAATACAGCATCTTGAAGAGCTCTGTGGCGTTTGCCCACTCGCATCCCGTGGGCTGGGAACACTGCTGTGAGCACTCGTTGGACTTTTTTTTTTTTTTTTGGAACCGGGGATTGAACTCAGGCCCTCGCACTTGCCAAGGAAGCGCTTATTCCACTGAGCCATCCCCCCGGCCCTCATTTTTATTTGTACTCCTTGCCATTCCTACCTTCTTCTCCTGGCTCTTGGAGTGGCCACTGGAATTACAGACCATGGTTTGGGGCAGACGGGGTAATGTAGCAGGTTTAGAAAGACCTGGCAATAGCAAGGTGGCAGTGAGGAGCCTGGGTGGGCCCTGGGCCAGGCTGTTCACTGTGCCGATGTCCCTGGACTGGGAGCCTGCATGGGCCAGTGCTGGGGCCTCACTCCCCCCAACCCTGATGGCCACCTGCCACATGCCAGCCTGTGAGAGGGTATAAGGCCACAGAAATAGGCCAGACAGGCCTAGACCCTGCCCTAGCGGGGACCACTGTCAGCGCCAGCACTGGCTGTGGTGGAAGGAGGGAACCTGCGGTTGTTGAGCTGAGCCCAGTGGTCATATGCCTGATACGCAGCAGGCGTCCAAGCAAGCAGTCGAGGGCTAGGACTCCCTTTTGTGCCAGCGTCCTTCCAACTTGTGGCACGTACTTCCCTCCCAGCCGGCAGGGGCCTCCCTGGCTTGTGGACAAGGGCCCTAAACACCCTCCCACTGTGTCCACAGGGGCCTACGCTTCATCCAGATCTTCCTCCAGAGCATCTGTGACGGCGAGCGGGACGAGAACCACCCCAACCTCATCCGCGTCAACGCCACCAAGGCCTACGAGATGGCCCTCAAGAAGTACCATGGCTGGATTGTGCAGAAGATCTTCCATGTGAGCCAGCCCCAGGGGACCAGGATGCCCCATTCTGTCCCCAGGCCAAGACCACAGGCTTGCAGATACCGTTTCCTGCTCTCCCAGTCTTCCCCCTCCCCCCTTTGGGTTTCTGAGACAGGGTCTCACTGTGTAACCAGCTGTGTGGGTTTTTTTTTTTTTTTTTTTTTGAAACAGGGTCTTACTGTGTAGTTCCAGCCATCTTTGAACTCATCTTGTACCCCATATTAGCCTCAAACTCAGCAATCCTCCTGCCTCAGCTTCCTGAGTGTGAGACTAGAGGTGTGCGCCACTATACCTGGCTGTTTGGCTGCCCCATGTCTTTAGCTGTATCTTTGAGGCCTGTATTTGCCTCTGGATTTGGGAACAGCCCCTGTCCTTGGAGGGCAAGGCTGGTACTGGTGTGCTGAGGGCCCTCATGTGGCTAGCCCTGGGGTATGGCATGGTGGCCATTACTGCAGATGATCGCTGGGGCCTCTCTGTGTGCCCCAGCCTGCGTGCCCTGACTAGCAGCTGGAGGCTGAGGCAGGAGGATCACAAGTTGAAGCCCAGTCTGGGAAATTTAGCGCCTTAGTGAGACCCTCTCTCCAGAAGGAGGCGGGAAACGAGCTGTAGATACAGCGGTAGTTCAAAGGCCTTGGGTTCATTCTCCAGTATTACAAAGAAACTAGAGAGGGAAAGGAAGTACCTGGGACAAACCCCCTTGGGCCTGCAAGTGGGTGGGGGGCTGGCCTCCTTGGCCCCTCCCAAGCCTCCTGGACTCTCCCACCAGGCAGAGAGGAGAGGAAGGGCTTTGCTCCCATGGAGGCATGTGCTTAAAGGGGAGAGGCCTGAGGCGTTCAGGCCCTTGTGGTCTGAGTTAGGGTAACATTGGCCAGAGTTCCTGGACACTGGGCTTTGCCCTGGTTAGCCGGGGGTCTCTAGGTCACCAGGCTGAGAAGCTGGCTGACAGGTGTGCAAGGGCCTTCAGGGTGCGCCTGTCTCTTGCTGCCCCGTGTGCTGTGCCAGCCCACAGAGCCTGTGTGTCCCAAGAACTAGGCTTCCGTGGCTTCTCTTTTCCTCAGGAGCCCAGGTTGGAAGCCAGGCTGGGTCCAGGCAGCAAGAGCTGGACATGGGGCAGGAACACAGACGCCTTTGAGCCACATGCTCTGGCACAGCCCCAAGATCCCTGTCTTCCCGGAGCCCAGTGAGGCATCCTGTGGGCCTGGCACAGGGCAGCTCCCCGTGAGCCATGATCTTCAGCAGTGCTCCACGAGGTGGCGCTGTGCCTACCCCACTGCACAGACTCGCACAGAATGGCAAAGTCAAGGTTCCACAGCGTGAACCAGGGAGGCCTGGCTTAGCCCGAGTCCTCTGTGCCTCTAGTCCCAGCTACTCGGGAGGCTGAACCAGGAGGAGCACTGAAGCCCAAGAGCTTGGGCTGGGCACTGTAGTAACACAGTAGGACCTTATCTCAAAAGCAGGAAGAGAGAGAGAAAGAGAGTCAGATGGTGGGGGGCTGGGACCATACCTTCCCAAGCCATAGTGTTCTTATCTTTCAAATGGGTATAAAACATGGATCATTGTGAAGATTTTTTTTCTTTTCAAAGTTTTATTGATAAACATATAGCAATGAGACAGTTTCAAATCAAATCAAAAGTACAGTTTCAACAAATAATACACTGCATATATTCTTCTTAGTGGTTAATTGCTGTACAAGATGCAGACTTGTGATCCTACTTACAAACACCATTAGAAAAAATCATTCTATTCATTAAGAGAATGCAACTATATATCTATCCCAACCACTTTGAATACACAGATACAAAATGGACATTCATAGTTATACCCCAATTTTTTAAGTTCCGTTGTTGAATATTATAGGTGTGTAAACTCAGCAAAATATTCTAAAAGAGTCCAGTAGCCCATAATAGCATTGGGTCTTCTGTTTAACTGGCAATGTCAGAAATTATTGACCTGAGTCCCCCACAGCTCAACATAACAACATGGCTTTACTTCCTATATTTTGTCTTCATACTTTTCTACTGGATGGTTAAGACCAAGGTAAAGCAGGACCTATGCAACAAGAGTTGTAGCTTTTTGGTTTGAGAAGGTCAGTGAAATGCCCTCAGGATTTGTCTTGAGATCCTGTACCTCAGATTGTAGAACCTTTGTCAGTGTCAGCCATGTGGATGAGTCACAGCCATTGCTTGGCCAATGTGCTCTCTGTGAAAGCCTGAGAGAGTGTCTTCTCCACTGTGAAGATTAAATGAGCCAATCCGTATAATTTTCTTGGCACATAGTTTACACTCAGTAAAATAAATCTATTACCTCTTTCATGATCAACGACAGTGCTGTTTATATTTTCCCCATGCTGTCGCAGCTGTAGCCTGGCTCTACAGTTCGGTGAACTGAGCCTCTGTACTTTCAGCTGTCAGGGAAGCCCTGAAATTTAGGGAAGTGTTACCCTGTAAGCACAAAGAAAAGGCCAGCCACAGGGCCCAGGAAAAGAAAAGGAAGGAAGGAAGGCAGGCAGGCAGGCAGGCCAGCCACAGCATGGCCTAGCAGCCGTCTCCCAACTCAGAAAGTTGGCTTCCAGATAAGGGAGCGCAGAGGGCAGAGGTCCAAGCTGGAGATGACACCACGCTGGTGTCCTTCCCGTGGGCCCTGTGGGGTAGAAGGGATAGCATGTCTTCCTTTCCTTTTCCTTCCCCTTCCCCTACCACCGATGGCAGAGTTGGGCCCACACAGACCCTGGGGAAGGATATACACCACCATCACCACCACCCCACCCCACCCCCACCCCACGCATGTCTCCCTGCTTATGGCCACCCCTCCTCCCCTCTCACCCACCTCAAGGCAGCACTCTACGCGGCTCCCTACAAATCCGACTTCCTGAAAGCACTGTCCAAGGGGCAGAATGTGACGGAGGAGGAGTGCCTGGAGAAGATCCGCCTCTTCCTGGTCAACTACACGGCCACCATCGACGTCATCTATGAGATGTACACCAAGATGAACGCGGAGCTCAACTACAAGGTGTAGGCAGCACCTACGTGGGGCCGCCGGCAGAAGGGAGCAAAGCCGCAGCACTGTGAACCAAGCCCACAGCCCGCAGGCCAGCCTGGGCTGCAGGGGACAGTCCTGGGGATTTTTTAAGTCTTTTTTTTTGGGGGGGGGGGTTCATTCTAATGGAGCAATAAATAACGATCTTCTTCTAGGTTTGACTTTGACAACAACACAGACTACTGTACATCTTCATTGCAGTGTGATAAGACTCAATTAACCAACCTGGCTCGGTGGCGCACAGCTGTGATCCCAGCTGCACAGGATCTTTTCAGATGGGAAGATGCTAACGTTGAGCCCAGCCTGGGGCAAATCAGCAAGATCGGGTCTCAAAAATCAAAAGAGTTTGGGGCGTGGCTCAGTGATACCCCACATGGCTAGTGTGCCTGAGGTCCTGGGTCCGATCCCTGGTGCCACAGAAACATAAACACAAATAAATAAAATTAACATTTCTAATAAATCAACTCCTAGGGTTTTGCCCCCCCCCCACGCCCAAGAAGCACTGCCCTGGGGGAGCAGCACACACTTCGTGTCATTTGGACGGACAGACGGACGGGGCGCATCTGTTGCGCTGAGGAATTGGCTGAATGATGCTTTGGGTATTTCAGGGACCATGAAAAATCTGATTCAAAATTTTGCAGGATCCTTACTGTGACATTCTTTACAGAAGTAAACTGGTATGTGTTCTACCAGACTTACATAGCCCAACCTCACAGTACTGTCATCAGAAAACATCAGCCTTTGGCTAGACCGTCTTTTGTTTTTAGCTTTTTTTTTTTTTAAATAGCAGAAACCAACCAGCAAGCCTTTGATGACCAAGAGGCCATTTCTTTGCAAGCTACTGGGCACAAACAACTGACCGTGGACGACTGTGTCCACATTCTTCTGCATAACTGTTTTCTTCAGGGACAGCTCTTCCAACCTAAGAAACAAGTAGATTTCTCAAGAGGGAGGAACGTGCCCTCCAGTTGCAGAGACTCACGAAGCCACCTTGCTGCCTTAACGGTCCTTCCTGGCGCTAAAGAGCGTATTTTTTTAAAAATACCAGGGCACACCCCAAAAGATTTGATGTGTGTTTAATTAAAAAAAAAAAAAAACCCAATGAGGAACAACTGATGGTTTTTATGCAGAGACTAAATGATCCTTAATAAATAAATCTCTATTTTGGAATCACATCTGTGTGCCGTTTTGGTTCTTGGTTCTTTCATTTATTTTCTGTATCCCAGGTTACAGTTGGAGACTTACAGAACCGCTGCCAATGACCTGTTTTCTGGCCTCCATGCTTTTAAAAAATAGAACTGGTTGCCACATGGAGAAACTGTAGAATTCCACATAAAAATCTTGGGTTTCCAGATTCTTTTGAAAAACCAAGCTGCCTGGCAGAAACATTGCCCCCTTGATAGGGTAAGGGGAAGGGTGTGGAGTTTTCACTTTGCCTCAGTCTCCACCCCTCCCTGCTGCCTTCCCCACCCTGTGGTCAATTATGATTTGCAGTTTATCAAAGGTTGATGCTTTCCCTTATAACTGGGGTTAAAGTGAAAGAGAAGACTTTCTCTTCATTCCTGCTCCCATGGAGCTAATGGCTCAGCGGGCAAGATGGACCAGAGTGGTCAGGGCCTCAAGGGACCTGGGCCACAGATGGGAAGCCACACTGTGGAATGCATTTTAGGAATCAGAGCTTGCCATGTGTCCCGGGAGATCAGGACGTGAGGAGAGGACATTCCAAGCCACAAAGGCCTGGTATCTTGAGGAATGTTGTGTGTGCATGTGTGTGTCCCATGATGCTGGCGTGGGACTTGATGTTGAGAATCATGGGACACCTTTCAGGCTCTGGTGCACCATCTGATCAGATACCCAGTTTGGAAAGCTCCCTCTGGCATAGCCAGGGCTTGGCAGCCTGAGCTGCGTCTTGTGCATGTCTCTTGATTTCATTATGTTTTCTAATATTACTGAACCTGTGGATGCTACTGTTCTTCCTAAGCTCTAATTGCTTTCTAGGGTTTTTTTTTTTTTTCTTTATGTGTGTGTGTGTGTGTGTGTGTGTGTGTGGCCAGCTCAGCCCACCAGGGGGCGGGGCTGGCTGGCATGTGGTGCTGGGGGATTGAACCATGGTCCCTGTGCTTTGCTAAGCTTGTTCTAAGTAGGTGCTTTAGACCACTGAGCCATCTCACCAGCCCCTTTCTAGGGGTTTTCCCTTTGGGTTTCCTAGAAATACAACGTTCTGCTGGCAATTAAAATAACTGTCTCTTTTCTTCAGATCTCTAACACAATACAATGAGGCCAGGAGGGCACTTTCTTCTTGGGAGGAGGAATTTTTCCCAGGGCAGCCTTCCTCACTGCTGCTCCTGCTGGGGTCCGGTATTTCTAGGGCTTTGGTCCCAGAGACAAGACCAACAGCACATCTGCATCCGGGCCTTCCCATTTCTTGTCAAAGTGGGATGCTGCCTGGAGCAGGGAAGAGAGCACACACTGGGCACCTGCTGTATACGAGGGCCTGTAAAAGAACGTGCTTTAACACATTTCATCATCACCTAAGACATGGGCATCCAGAGACGCACTTACCAATTGAGGGAACCGTGCCCCCAAAGCCGTGGCATCGCCTAGGGGATGGGACTCGGCCAGGGTGACCCAGCCACATGTGGCACTGAGACTTTCCTTCTGACTGCAAATTTGAAAGTGAGTCACACTTCCTGCCCGCATGCTCCCAGGTTAACTGATAACACAGAAGCCCAAATTAGCTCCAAAGTTGGCCAGGACTGATTCTTCTGTTTCCATCAATGAAAACTCAGTCCTTTAGGCACTCTCTCAATCCCGTTGTAACGTATCTCTGCTACAGCAGAGCAACCAAGGCGCGGGCGATTTACCTTTCAGAAGCTGTTTCTCTCTCTGTACAAGGAGGTCTTGCCGGTGCCTACCTCACAGGGTTGCCACGAGGCTTAACCATTACAGAGTCTGGAAGCCTGGCCCTGCTCTGTGTTAGCGAAATCGCCTTGGGCAAATCACTCTGCCTCTCTGTGCCTCACATTTTTCTTTCATGCCGGGGAGGATACAACAGATTCAGATCACCGTGTCGATGAAGCTGTCCGGATGCCGAGCTGCGCTCTCCGTCAGTGCTGGCTGGGGGATGCGTTTCCCTGGTTTGCGAACTGCCGCCTCCCTCCTGCACCCTCTGCTCTTGGCGCGCCCCACAGCTCCAGGGCTTGCGCACTGAGCGCCTTTAGCTCCCTCGAGGCCCGGTAGGTGGCGCTGTCGGCACCGCAGAGCCCCGAGCCCGGCCAGCCGGCACCTCCCACACAAGGATCCTGCATTCCCAGCCCAAAGAGGGAGGACAGGACTGGGGCTCCCGCTTCCAGCGTGCTCCGGAAAGATGTAAGTCCCTCTACCGAGTACTTGAGATCTTGATTTCAGGCCAGCCTCCGTGTGGCAGTCATCTTTGCCCTGTCACGTAAGAGACTATTGCCACTTTACCAGCGCTACCATCTAATGATTTGGGGATTTAAGCCCAGACTCAGAAACTTTGCAGCTGTGATCCCAGACAAGTCAGTGCACCTCTGTAACAAGGGGCCTCAGTTTGTGAATCTGTGAACTGGAACAGGAACACCTCCACCTTTCAGGATTGCATAGAACAATGTGTGTCAAGCACCTGACACACTGGAAGATGTTTGAGAGCACATCCTTATTGATATTTTATTTGATGCTACCATCTTCCAGGGACCTAAGAGGGATGTGCAGTTCCAGTAGTTGAACCAAGGCATGCTGTCGTTTGCACTCACTTGGCCTGCGCATCTGAACCACATCCCTGGCCTTTTTAGTTTTGTCTTTTAAATTTTGATTTTGATTTTTTTTTTTTCCAGAACCAGGGATTGAACTCAGGCCCATCTCCCCAGCCCGAAACACTTTTTTTTTGGGGGGGGGGGGCGGGGGAGAACTGGGGATTGAACTCAGGCCCTTGCACTTGCCAGGGAAGCACTTACTCTAGTGAGCCATCTCCCTTGACCCCTTGAAATATGGTCTTGTTAGGCTGACCTTAAACTTGTAATTCTCCTGTCTTAGCCTCTAGAATAGCTAGAATTTCAAGCCAATACCACCTTGCCTGGCCATTACTAGTTCTTATAAATACACTAGTGCCAGCTGGGTACAGTGATGCAGGTCTGCAATCCCAGCATTTGGAGGCTGAAGCAGGAGGACTGTGAGTTCAAGATCTCGCGGGGGTAATTAGCAACTTAGGGCCTGTCTCAAAAATTAAAAAATAAATAGGGCTGGGGCTGTAGCTCAGTGCAAAGGCCATGAGTTCAGCCTCCAGTGCCCCCTCAAGGTTATACAGCTTAGCAGATGTCAAAGGCTAGCAACAAGAAACAGCCCCGAAATGTCAGGCAACCTGGCTGCTATTCCTTGCTCCTTCCACATCTTCTGTGTGACTCTGGGCAAGTCATTTGTGCCCCTGAGCCTCAGTTTCCTCATTATAAAAATGCTGGGAAAGGTGGCACACATCAGTGATCCCAGATGTAGGGAGGTGGAGGCAGGAGGATTATTGCAAGTTTGAGACCAGCCCAGGCTACAAAGGGAGCTCAAGGACAGCATGAGCTGCATAGTGAGACCCTGTCTCAAAAAGACAGAAGAATAAAAATAAAAATTCCAGCCTAGCTTGCTCCCTCCAGCCAGCTCTGGCAAGCCACCATGGACACCTCTTCAGATGGCAGGCAGCCCCTGGTTTGGATTCCTAATCCAGGAAAATTAACGTCTGCTGTGGCCTCAAGTGGGAGCACCCACTTAGCAAAGCACTTAGTGCAGCACCTGAGGGGCCCTGGAAGCCGGCAGCTGATAGATCACCTCACCAGCCCTTGATCTGGGAGGACCGTCTGGAAGACGGGCTCCTCCAGGCTGCTTGCTGAGCGCCCGCTGCCTGCAAGGCCCTGAGCTAGGCTCAGAGGATCCTGCAAGAAGCCACACAAGGGTCCCAGCCCATAAGGCCCACCTGGTGAGCCCCATGATAAATCGTGAGAGTGAAGTGGGTGGTGACGGACAGCAAGGAGGGCTAAGGGGTGGACAGTATGGTGGTGCAGTGATTCAGAGTGAGGGTGGTGATGGTGTGCAGGGAGGAGCTCTCTGAGGGGGTGACAGCTGAGCTGAGAGCCAAAGGGAAAGAGAGAGAGAGAGAGAGACAGACAGACAGACAGACAGACAGACAAGCAACAGCCAGTGCAAAGGCCCTGAAGCATCTGGCAGGGCAGACTGCCAGGGAGGTTACAATTCAGAAAGAGTTTAGAGGGAAGTTTGCTTTCTGCCCTAAAGGCAGAAGGGATTAGCCCTGGTGAGTAGAAGGTGATAGAGCTAATTCGCAGTTGAAAAAACTGTCAGCCAGGACCTCAGGGGTCCCTTGTGTGACTCAGAAAAGAGGCTGTGCTTGCTCCTGCCTGAAACCAGTCTGTGCCTCTTCTTGGCCAGACTGAGTGGGGTGGGTGGGAGCCTGGCCAGGAGGTGCCCCACCTCTGTGAAAGGCATGGGCCTCTCTCCAGAAAGCACTGGTTTAACCTCTTACGATTCCATGCAGAAGCCCAGCTGGGAAGCCCTGAGGTCCTCTGACACCCCACCTTGTGGAGGTCATCTTTGAGGTGACCGTGGCCAACTGATGCTTGGCTGTATCCACAGGCCACTGATGGCTGCGGGGAGGAAAGGAATCACAGCCTCCAAGCGAAGCCTGGGAGAGCAGCTGCACCATGGCAACGGTCACCCGAGGAGAAGGGCTTCCTCCCACCTGGCCTCAGGTTTCCGCCCCAGGGAGAATTCCAGAAAAGCCTCATTGAAAGCCAGACTGGGCTGGGTGGGGCTCCAGTCCTAGGGACCAGGGCCAGGGCTTTGCAGGACCAAGGTATACAAACCAACCTCTTGTCCCTGACCTGTTTGTGTCCTCTCCCCGGGAGGATCACTATGAATTTGAGCTGCGTAGCAGAAAGCAAAGCAAACTTCCTCTAAACTCTGCACCTCTGAATTGTAACCTCCGTGGCCTCTCGGCCTTTCCAGGCTGCTTCCTCTCCTGCCTCAGGGCCTTTGCACTGCTTGTCTGTTTGTCTGTCTGTCTGTCTGTCTGTCTGTCTGTCTCTCTTGCTCTTTCTTTCCTTCCCTTTGGCTCTCAGCTCATCTGTCACCTCCTCAGAAACAGCTGGTGACTTCAT